GTGAAGAGGGAATGAGGGGCAAATAGAGGGGGAGAGTGGGGCAGAGAGAGGGGTAGTGGGGCAGCGAGAGGTATGTTGGGGCAGAGAGAGGGTAGGAGGGGCAGATGGATGGAAGGATGGGCAAATAGAAGTGACTTCGGGGCGGAGTGAGAGAAGGCGGGGCGTGAGAGAAGGCGGGGCGTGAGAGAAGGCGGGGCGTGAGAGAAGGCGGGGCGTGACCGAAGGCGGGGCGTGACCGAAGGCGGGGCGTGACCGAAGGCGGGGCGTGAGAGAAGGCGGGGCGTGACAGAAGGCGGGGCGTGAGAGAAGGCGGGGCGTGACAGAAGGCGGGGCGTGAGAGAAGGCGGGGCGTGAGAGAAGGCGGGGCGTGAGAGACGGCGGGGCGTGAGAGAAGGCGGGGCGTGAGAGAAGGCGGGGCGTGAGAGAAGGCGGGGCGATGGAGGGGTAGCGTGGTGGAATGCCGGGCGGAGAGCATGCAGGAGGGGCAGAGAGAGAGAGAGAGAGAGAGAGATTCGAGGCAGAGAGAGAGGGTGGGGCGTGATGAGGGAATGAGTGTCAGAGGAAGGTGCATGTGGGGCAAAGAGAGGGAAAGTGGGGCAGAGAAAGGGACAGTGGGGAAGAGAGAAGGAATTTGGGGCTGAGAGGCCGAAGGAGGGGCGGAGAGAGGGAAGGAGGGGCGGAGAGAGGTGAGAGCGGGGCATAGGGAAGTGGGCATAGAGAGGGAAACAGACGCCGCGAAGGAGGAATGCAGGGTAGAGGGAGGGTAAGAGACGAAGCCAAGAAGGAATGCGCGGTAGAGAGAGGGATAGCGACGGAGTGAAGGAGGGTCATAACGAGGGAAGGAGGGTCAGAGAGAGGTGAATGCGGGGCATAGAGAAGTGAACTCGGGGCATAGGGAGGGCAGGAGAGGAATGAAGGGGGAAATTTGGGAATAGAGAAAGGGAGATTGGGGCAGAGAGAGGGCAAGTGGGTAAGAGTGAGGCAAATTGGGGCAGAGAAAGGGAACGAGGGGCGGAGCGAGGTGATCATGTGGCAGAGAGTGGGAACGAGGGTCAGAGAGAGGAAGGGTGGGGCATAGAGTATGGGAGAGAGGGGCAGAGGGGGGGAAAGTGAGGCAGTGGGAGAGAAAGTGGGGAGATGAGGGTGCGATTGGATGCACCTAACTACTCCCCCCCCCCCTTCACCCGTCCCTTGCTCGCCCGCCTGCCCCCCTCCCTCCCCCTTCCCCCCCTGCCCCACACCCCCATAACCGATACCCTGATTGCATCCCGTACGTGCAGACGCTACAAGATCATCAAGGCAGTGACCCCTGCATCTTTGCTGAGGCTCCCATCCGCGTGGGCGTACTTCACCACGACGGCCTGCTTCTCGGCGTCGGAGCACCGTGCCATGATGCAAGTGCTGCCCCTCATTATTGACCTCCCCAAGCGCGCCGATATTCGACATGCCATCACGCTCATGTCGGACTGGTACAAGGAGTTCATCCGGGCTGAGTATCACACTGATGAATCTCTCGAGCGCATGGAGGAGGTCTCCTGCGAGTAAGTCTAGTGTGAATGGATGTGCGTTCCTTGCGCAGAGGGAAAGAGGGACAGAGCGAGGATCGAGGGGCCGAAAGAGGGACTAAGGGGCCGTGTGTGGGAAATGGGGGCTGAGAAACGGGGACAGCGGGCAAAGTTTGTGAAAGAAGGGCAAAGAGAGAGAAAGAATGGAAAAGAGAGGGAAAGAGGGCAGAGTGAGGGAACGAGGGGCCGAAAGAGGGGAAAGGGGGGGCAGAGATAGGGAAGGATGGATGAGAGAGGGATAGAGGGGCTGAGAGAGGGAACGAGGGGCTGAGAGAGGGAACAAGGGGCTGAGAGAGGGAACGAGGGGCTGAGAGAGGGAACGAGGGGCTGAGATAGGGAACGAGGGGCTGAGATAGGGAACGAGGGGCTGAGAGAGGGTACGAGGGGCTGAGAGAGGGAATGAGGGGCTGAGAGAGGGAACGAGGGGCTGAGAGAGGCATCGAGGGGCTGAGAGAGGCAACGAGGGGCTGAGAGAGGCAACGAGGGGCATAGAGAGAAGAGGAGGGGCACAGAGTGAGGGAATGGAGGGGCAATTAGAAGGAAGGAGGGGATGAGAGAGGGGGGGGGGGAGGATATGAGAGGAGGGGGGAGGGGATGAAAAAAGGCGGAAAGGCATGAGAGAGGGGAGGAGGGGATGTGAGAGGGTATGGGGCACAGTAAACCCCTCCATACCACCCCACTGCGCCAACCCCGTATCTTCCAATCCTCCATAACACATTCCATACAGGATGGTCGATGCGCTTGTTCTAGCGTTCGACAACCAGAAGTCGAAGTGGTTTATTGTGAAGGTACATCTTGTATCGCACCTGCCACCGACGATCCGCGCACGCGGATTGCCACAGGAGTACTCGTCGAACCGGTACGAGCAATCCCACAAGACAACAGTAAAGCGCCCATCTCGGGGCACCAACTGGAAGGGTGTGGAAGATAGGATTGTGAAGAAGCATGTCGAGCAAGCTGTTGTTCGACAGCTGTCTCGGGCTGCCGGCGGGGACAAAACCTACGAGACAGCCATGAAGGAGGTGAGACTGAATACAACCCAAAGCCGTTTCAATCCACCACTTGTCCCCCCTTGCTCCAACCGCCGACTACCCTCCATGACCTCCTGTTTTAAAGCTAAACCTTGCCTATCCTCTTGAGCCCCGCTGACCCTTACCCGACTACCATAAACTTATGACATCCCGTTCTGCACTCCCATGCTCCCCCACGGGGCCTCACATGGATGTTTAACCCGTTGCCCCCTCTTGTCATCTCTTAAATGCCCCCAGATGCTTCCCCATTAGTCCACCCACCAACCTTCGTCTTGCTGCCCCTCTTGACATCCCGTTCTGCCCCCACATGCTTCCCCACTTGTCCACCCACCGACCTTCCTCCTGCTGCCCCTCTTTGCTTCCCGTTCTGTCGCCTACATGCTTCCCCACTTGTCCACCGACCAACCATCTTCTTGCTGCCCCTCTTGACATCCCATTCTGCCCCCACATGCTCCCCCACTTGTCCACCCACCAAGTGTCCTCGTGCTGCCCCCCTTGACATCCCGTTCTGCTCTCAAAAGATCCCTCGCTTGTCCACCCATGAACCTAAACCCTCCTGCTATACCCCTCGCCCACTCGAACTTCCCACCCTTGCTCCACCACAGGCTAAACCATCCAGCCCATCTTTGTAATTCGTTGAGCCCCCCCCCCCGCTTGGCACTTGTCCCCCTATTCACATGCCTACTGTTGCTGCCCCCTCTGACCTCTCGTACTGCCCCCTATTCCCGCCCACTCGTCCCTAATCACTGCTCCCTCCTCCTGTTGTCCCCATTGCACTTCAATTGCTGCCTTGTTATGCCGCCATGTAAACCATGCATCCATCACCTTCCTACCCAGGCTTGCACGCTTGGGCGCCGGGTGATGACAAAGACACACAAGAAGATGACCGTGGGGAACATCCTCGATGATGTATTCAGGAGCTACGTCCTCCTTCACGGAGATGAAGCGATGGGCGCCCTGAAGAAGCGGCTGACCATGGAGGGAATCCGCGAACAAGTGCTCAGTGTGAGAATCATAAGATTGCCCCCTGCAATGCAGACCTGCCACTACCATCCTGTTAAACGCAAGCAGTCTTAGACCAGTTGTAATGGGAAAACCCAGCCATGGAAATCCGTTGTATCAATGCACCACTTAGCAACTCATCCTTGAGAAATCTAACACGACCCTTCCATTGTTTTGTTGCGTTCCATGTTTGTTTACTCGCAGGTGCACACAGCCATGGCAATCCCACCGCACGACAGAATGGAGTGGACCGAGAAGGGGCAGTTTGTCAAAGCAAGCCCTGCTGAGAGGCACTTTTCAGATGTGGCCATAAACCCATCTGCAAAGGGGCCAACTGGTACGGCCGTTGCTTGATGCTGTTCCATTACGTGAAAGATGGCGTGGCAAAAAAGGCCGCCTACATAGAGTACTACACGGAGGATCGGCGCGTCTGCCGCTACACAGGCTGCAAGCGACTGCTGCCCACGAAGGGCACTTACAACTATGCAGTTGTAGATGCAGATTGCATTCTTAGCATCGTGCATGTCGTCCCATGCTGCAAAGACCCTGATGTGAAGCTCCTCAATAGGTTCATCTGGTAATGCCTTCAAAATTGCGATCGTTTTTCTAAACTATAACATCGTATAATTGTGATACTCCTATTCATGAAGCCTTATGTATTGTCTCAACAAACAACATTTGACACATCAACCATCAAAACATTGGTAATCCATTACTAAAACATCAACAAAACATTTGGGTAGTACAAAATGATATCCGAATGATATGTAGATGATTTCTGAAAGATTGTCAAACGTTTTTTAAACCCTTGGTAACAAACCAAACGGTCGAATGTTTTCTAGACACACACATTTTTGTGATGTAGAATTTTCTGAAAAAAAAAAAGTCCAACAAAAAAACGGCCGTATTTTTGCCAAAACCACCGTAATTTACAACCGTAAATTACGGACCGTGATTTACGATTGCCGTATTTTTTAACCTTGCCCACCCCCCCCCCCCCCCCCACACACACACACACATACACACACACATGAACGCACGCATGTACACCCACGCACACACACAGGAAGTAATGAGCCTCCTGCCCCGCACAACCTACTGAATCGCAACTGAACCAGCAAAATTTGTCTCGATAAAAATGCCTTTCTAATCTCTTCTCTCCAACCGCTCACAGCAGGGAAAGGTTGACGAGTTGGTAGCAGGGAGAGTTGTTCACAGGGAGGTGAAAGGCTCACAGGAAGGTGAGACGCTCACAGGGAGGTGAGAGGCTCACGGGGAGGTGAGAGGCTCACAGGGAGGTGAGAGGCTCACAGGGAGGTGAGAGGCTCACAGGAAGGTGAGAGGCTCACAGGGAGGTGAGAGGCTCATAGGGAGGTGAGAGGCTCACAGGGAGGTGAGAGGCTCACAGGGAGGTGAGAGGCTCATAGGGAGGTGAGAGGCTCACAGGGAGGTGAGAGGCTCACAGGGAGGTGAGAGGCTCACAGGGAGGTGAGAGGCTCACAGGGAGGTGAGAGGCTCACAGGGAGGTGAGAGGCTCACAGGGAGGTGAGAGGCTCACAGGGAGGTGAGAGGCTCACAGGGAGGTGAGAGGCTCACAGGGAGGTGAGAGGCTCACAGGGAGGTGAAAGGCTCACAGGGAGGTGAGTCGTGTGAGGTTGGTGATGACATCTGGAATGGTGTCGAAGCCATGTCGGAGGCTGATCGACGCTGGACTGGTGTGGTGCAGATGGGGGGAGAGGGGGGTGGGGGGGGGTTGGGGTGGGGGGGGGGAGGGGTCGGAGGGAGAAGGAAAAGAAGGAGTTTGCTTCACAAGGGTTGACGTCTGGAATGGTGTCGAAGCCATGTTGGAAGCTGATCGATGCTGGACTGGTGCGACTCAGGCCGAGACAGGGCGGAGCGAGAGGGCGGAGTGAGAGGGCGGAGTGAGAGGGCGGAGCGAGAGGGCGGAGCGAAAGGGCGGAGCGAGAGGGCGGAGCGAGAGGGCAGAGTGAGAGTCCGGAGGAAGAGGTTGGAGGAAGAGGAGAGCAGAAGGAGGGAGTGGAAGGAGAGGGTAATGAAGGACTTGACGGCACAAGGGATGAGGAAGATAACTGGACAACCAGCAGCTGAATCCGCGGCAGCAGCAGCTGAATGAAGCCCTCCTTGTCACACTTGTGCATAACCATCGGCATCTCAACATCATTGTCACAGGGGGCACAGGGGGCAAAGGGGGCACAGCAGGCAAAGGCACGTACGTGATGGAGACGATGAAGCCTTCCTTGTCGCACTCGCGCACCACCTGGGTGTTATACCAGTCCGCGCAGTCCCCGCCGTTGACAATATCGATTCCCCACACCTTGGACAGCTCCTTGAGAGGCGGCACTGCAGCGAGAAGGGGGAGAGAAGAGAGATTATGCGGCACACATTGACCGTCGATATTGATGTCGATGGCCCACGACTTCCATAGCTCCTTGAGAGTAGAGGAGGAAGAGGGAGAGGGGTAGAGAGAGGGGAAGAGGCGGAGAGGGAACACGTTTGAACAAACAAGAAGGCGCATTCTCCCTTTTGTGGTGGCGGTGGCTCACGTCCCGCGTTCGTTGAAGCGGGAAAGCTAGCAGCTTAGTGGGATGAGTTAGTAGTGGGGAGAGGACTCCTCTCGGAGGACAGCGGGAGGAGAGATGTGCACATCACGCAGCGATGATAGTAGCGCTCAGAGAGGGGACGAAAGGGAGCAACACAGTGGGATGGGTTAGCATAACGGGGGGAGGACATCGGGGAGGAGAGATGCGCGCATCACGCAGCGATGATAAGTAGCGGTGTTGACCTCAGAGATTGGAGGAAAGGGAGCAGCACAGTGAAAAGAGGGGTGTTCACAATGATAGTAGAAGGGGCCCTTCCTCTCTGGAGGAGAAGTACGAGGAGGAGAGAGTGTTTGCATCACGCAGCGGCGTCACGCTCGTCCCTCTCCTAACGGTTAGGAGAGGGACGAGAAGAAAAAGCATACGAAAGGGAGCCGAGAGAGGAGAATGGGAGCTGAGAGTATTGGATCACGTCATCCAACTTCTAGGTCGTCTGTTAGCTGATAGCTTCCTTTTCGATTCTCGCCGCATGGCATGGCGCCGCGATGCATCGGTGCGGCCCAGCTTACGTTGCGATTTTTCGATGTAGGGAATCGCTTCGGCGACAAAGTAGTGTCCGGCGCCGCGTGTGCCGGCCCTCAACCCGGTGGGATCGGGAACGAGGAGGGCGAGGAGGATTAGTATAGTCGTGCCTCCGAGTATCCTTTTCGGCGCTGCGTTGTCGTTTCTCGCCATGGCTGTGACTTAGGCTGAGTGCTCTAGGATTATTTTGCGATTCGAATTGCTTCCGCTGCTCCGTCCAATCTGAGACTCTCGATGAGCGCTGGAGATTATATATAAGAAAAAAAACTATGCAACCTCGAATTTTGTTGAAGCGGGAAAGTGTGATGCAGTTTTGATTCTGCTGGAGAAATGGCAATATGAGAGAATCTCATCTGAGCGGGAAAGGGGAACTTCAATGTCAATATGAATGGGAAGGGGGAGGGAGAGACAGGCAAGTAAAGTGGGAGAATATTGTGCGGTGCGATCTACGACACTGTGTGCCTCACCCAGTAGGAAGAGCTGCCTTGCTGGACATCACGAGTATTTTTGCCCAATATTACTCGCCTGGGACGGATTCAAGAAAGTCATTGAAGTTTTGGTATTTCGAGAACCGTCGATCTCGATCAGAGTTGCAACCACAGCGCACGAACTCGCTGCGGTGGCAGCGGACCGTGCACGATGAAGAATTGCAATTGGATATCCCTTCTGTGCTGGAAAGTTCAGGTCACTGCTCGACTGGTCATCAATGTCAATCCTGGTTTGGCGGTGTGTTGGGTCGGAATCAGGTGGCATTCGCCGTTGTTAGGAATACAGTCTTCACTTCTGAACAGACAAAAGGCTGGCGAGGAACATTGCAACAAGGAAAAGTACATTCCAGCTCCATATATTCAAAAATCTAACAAATTTAGTCCCAAGCTTACTCAAGAAGTACAGCTTTATGGAATTTTGCCCACGTGAGGCCCACATTATGCTCAAAACTGGTCCTGCAGGGAAAAAAATTTCGACACGTGTCCATTTTTTTCACGGAAAAAAAAGTTTTACGGTCATCGACGCCACCTTCGTTTCGCACCGGTCGAGGAAATGCAGGACGAGAAGGGTGTTCCGTCGCCCACTGCGTCCGGATGCCCAACTCAGCGATCGCCCAAGGGATCGACCCGTACTCGCCATCCTCGTGGCGTTTCCTCGCATCAGCCAAATGTGCCTCCAAGGTGTCCACTACGCCCGCATTAGCTCCGGGGTCGACCGTGGCGACTAATGTGACTGCCGGCCTACGAACGACTTAGTAGGTGCAAAAGTCGGCTTCTATCTGAAGGTAATTTGCGGGGCCGTCCACGCTCACTGCACCATGCAGAGAGTCACTCTACAAAGGTTATAAGCTAGACTACGAGGGTTGGCAGGAACTACAAGGAGTGATCGTAGCTTTGCTTAGTTACTTGGTGCTTGCACATACACGCGAGAAATCGGCAAGAGTTTCACTACGAAAAGTTGGAATTTCAAAATGGTAGAATAAACAATGACAGAATTGACTACACCAGGCACCTAGCAACTCTGCAGCTGGCCTAGTCGACCGCCGGTACTGCATGGTCGACCACCTGCCAGCGTTGCATAGAGGAGCCGCGCCAGCACTGCAGAATGGCGACCTGCCAAAACTGCAGGTCGAGGGCGTGCCAACGCTGCAGCAGAACGGCTGTCCAGCATTGTCCCGTAAAAGATAGCAGTGCACATGCTCGCAGGTGCGCGTAGACGATTGGCCCGACTTGCCTCGTTGTGCATCCGTCGGCTATTGTCGGTGCCTGACGAGCCACATCGACTTCGGGATACCAACCCGAAGCCGCATTCGCTATCGCGACCTCGACGACGTTCGCGTGCCTCCGCAGAACTCGTCGAATAGGTTACCTGGTCGACTTGGTCGACCACCAAGTGCTCTGGTTGACCACTAGTGCCTTTGATCGACCACCAGATGCTTCTAGTCGACCACCAGGTGCCTCTGGTCGACCGCAGCTTCTGTCGAGCTACCCCCTGGTCGACGCTGTCAGAATGTTATATTCTCTAGCCTGTAGTGGGGTGCTCTATAATGAGTACAACCCTGTTAGGGTTTGCTATATGTATCCCTGCTGCTGCTAGTGAACATCCTCCTTTTGCTCATTTCTCTCTTGCCTAGCTAGGGTTCTCCTAGCTATGGCTCCTCACAATCGCTACTATCTCAACAGACGCACCCCTTCCGTTGACCAGAATTGTCAGCGATTGTCGCCGAGCTCCCCTCGTCGACTGCTGCTCGATTGTCAGGTCGACGAACTGCTCCGTCGACATCCCAATTGAACTGCCCCTACTGGTCAACAGCTTACTCGTTGCCTAGGGTCAGCTGCAGCTGTTGAGCTCCTTGGTTGACAGCACCACCACAGCGGTCCCCTGCAGCTCGACGAAGCCCGCCGAGCTGCTCTCCCACTGTGTACGGTTGGCTGCTTTTCCTGTTCATCCGACCAAGTTCTTGTCAAGATAGCAAGCAGGAATGATTTCATTTAATGAAATGTGGGTACAAGTACTAACCCTAACTTTGGGTTGTACCCCATATGGGCTACCCCACTATAGCCTACACAGAACTAACACATATATAGTTTGACACACCCCCATAGACAAAGTGGGGGAGAACAAGGGGTCACAAGACCAGTCAAGAAAAGCAAAGCAACCTCGGGGTGGATCACAACGTCACCACACACTCGAGCACAAGCAAAGAGGTGACAAGGCCAGTTCACATGCAGAGGTATATATGCAAAAACAATAGTACATTGATCACTACCTAGCAAGAGTAAACATGCAGGTATCCATATATAGATCACAGTACAACCAGAGTCTATGGAAAGTGATGAAACGTAGGCACCAGGTCTAGAGCAGAGCAGAAGTGCTGGTGATCACCAGCCGGAAGGGCCTTGGTGAACACATCAGCAGTGTTGGCCCGGGTGGGCACGTGAGCGACACGAAGCTGACCACGCTGCCGCAACTCTCGAGCAAGGAGGTAACGCAGAGTGATGTGCTTTGTTCTATGCTCCAGTCTGTGCTCCTGACACAAGGCAATGGTAGCCTTGTTGTCGACGTACAGAACTGGAGGAGAACGAGGCCTCTCTCCCAAGTCCGTCAGCAGTTAGGTAAGCCAGCGTAGCTCCTGTGCAGCCATGGCTGTGGCGTAGATATCAGCCTCACAACTAGAGCTGAGAACAGAAGATGGGCAAGTAGACCGCCACGAAACAGAGCCAGAGCCAAAGCTGAACGTGTAACCCTGTGACGACCGCTGCCTAGCCAGATCGTCAACCCAAGAAGCATCTGAGCGCCCAGTGAAGACAGCTGAGCTCCGCCCTCCAAGCACGAGCCCCATGCCCGATCTACTGCACAAGTAGCGCAGTACCCTCTTCGCAGCATCCATGTGCACCTTACGGTGCCTACCAGGAGCCACGTAGCGTGCCAGAAGGCCAAGAGTGTTGGATGCACGTCATTCTGAGTGCATGTCATCCTAACGTCCTGCCAAGTGCTCGTGCTATTCATGCGTGCATTGTTTGCATGAGCATATGTCATTGTGCATGGCTGTTGGATATTATCATCTCTGTGTTATTCTCCAAGTCTACATGCTTGATCATGCAGGAGAAATCCAGAGCTTTCCAACGATACCAAGATCGACTTATTCCGACCAAGATCGCCCAAGTTACAAGAATTCCAAGACTTGGATTTCTTATTACCTTTTGGGGTTATATCTAATTTGGGTGATTACTTGGGACATGACTATAAAGGGATCTTTGGTTGGGTGGTTAGAAAGGCAACTTTGACTTTTGGATTGGGGTGGCTAGAAGTTTCTAGCATGGGTTGCAAATGTTGCAACACCTAGGCAAAATTCAATTAGATTGGATTTTGCATGTGACACCTCAAGGACCTCATGATGAGGGTTGCATCCTTGCTGCTAGGAAGGTTCCTACCATCCTTCCCTAGCTCTTGGAGAACCCCTTCCCTCTCATGGTTCTCTTGGAGTCCCCAACTCCAACTTCCTATGTCCTAATGCTTGTACTCCTCCACCATTCTAGTCATGCAGCTGCTGGACGTTTTCAATCGGTTCTCACTCTGAAGACCATCTTAACAACTGATTCAACTTGGAGATGGTAGCTAAGCCTAAGGCGCAACTTACTACTGAGCGGATTTGCGTTTAGTTGAGTAATGAGTTCGTCGTAAGCTCTCAAAGTGACGGATCCTGAACAACAAGTGGTATCAGAGCGGGTAGTCGACTTTGAGACGACGAATCGTCGTGAATTCTCAACCAATGTTGTCGAGTGAGACCATTTTCTAGTAGATCTGCTTGCGAACTTTCGATTGGTGGTCAAATCGCGTTCTAATTCGACGTATCCAGTCCGCGGCGGCGATTTTCGTAGAATCGAAATTACTGGCAGAATTCTCTCCAAACGATTTCTCAAGTTTCCACCGTTCATAAGGCCTCAATATGGTTGGTACGAACTCCGGAGGTGCTAGTGGCGAGATGGATAGAAGTAGAGAGGCTGGAGAGCAGGGGGGAGTTGCTGGTGGAGGAGTGGGGACTCACCAACCAGCCAACCCTACGCTACCCTCAAATTCTACACCACCTCCTACAACCGTGGATCCTGTGAAGGCTTTCTCTATTGAGAAATTCATGGGGGAGGACTACGAGCACTGGAGTTTCCGCATGAGGCTGATGTATACCCAATACAAGCTATTGGATTTGGTGGAGGGGAAGGAGAAGATGCCGGAGGCCACGGAGCTGAAAGGAGCGTGGATAAAGCGATCGTTCGACGCGTACATGCTCATGGTGCAAGCGGTTGGCGGACGACAACTTGACCACATCAAGGACCTCTTGGGTGATCCAGAGTGTGGCCCCAAGGCTTGGAGGAAGCTTCTGGATGTGCACTCACCGACACATGCTACCGGCATTGTGCTACTCGCGCGGCGGCTGCGCGACATCAAGTTCGTTGATGGAGAGCTCGTGCAAGGCGGCGGTGTGGTGTACCCGGAGCTCGTGCAATGCGTTGAGATCGTGATACGGCTCCCGGAGTCATGGTCTGCCCTTGCGATCAACCTCATCTCTCAACAGCCCCAGTGGAGCGTAGATTACATTCGCGTATGCATCCTAGAGGAGGACCTGCGGCGGCGGAGTGTGGAGCGCTCGGAGGAGGGGGCTGGCTATGGAGTTGGAGGTGGAAATAGTGGCTTCAAGAAGAAGTGGAAGGGCAAGAACAAGGACTACCCTAAGGAGGATGGCGACGGGGGTCAAGGGGAGGTGTGCTTCTACTGCAAGAAGCGCGGACACCGTTGGCGGAAGTGCTACCAACGACCCAAGGATTGGACCCCGCCTTCATCAAGCAACCAGCGTGGCGGCACGAGGAGTGGGGGAGTCATGGGAGCTAGTGGAGAGGAGAAGGAGGAGGAGAAAGGCGGCAAATCTGAGGAGCGGAAGGCCGGGTTCTTCTTCTTCGTGAACGAAGGCGCAACCGACCTCGCTATGGCTGCCAAGGTTCTCCTACACCCCCTCACCCATTGGGTGATTGACTCGGGAAGCTCCTGGCATATGACTCCTCGTGCGGACCTGCTCGATGAGATTCAGCCCGCACCTATCTCTACAGTCACATCCGCGACGGGCGCCAAGGCCAAGGTCATGGGCATGGGATGCGTCTAGTTCATGGGAACGGATGGAGAGCTCGTGGGGCTGAAAATTGTGCTGTGCGTGCCGGACTTGTGCGCGAACCTGATTTCTACCGGCCGGTTGGGAGATGCAGGTGTGAACACCGAGACGATTGGCTCGGAGCGCTATCGTGCCTACAACGATGGGCGCCTCATTTGGGACCTGCAGTGGAAAGGAGATGTCCACAAGCGCATGTGGCAGATCCCGGTCCTCTCTTGGCGGAAATCGGGCAAGGCGGCAGCGGCGGCATCTATGGAGGAGAGCGTCACCGAGGAGCTGCAAGGTGTGCAAGGAGAGGAGCTGATTGGAGGAAGCGCGATGGCGACGGCGTCGGCTACCTCGGGCCAAGCGGATTGGGAGACTTGGCATCAGCGGCTCGCACACGTGGCTGTTTCCACATTGGAGGTGATGCACAAGGAGAAGTGCGTGCATGGGCTGCAACTGCAAGGAGATGGCGCTCACTATGGCAGCTGCGAGGCGTGCATGCAAAACAAGTTTGTGCGGTTCCCGTTTCCACGTGCGGAGGGATCAGTGAAGGCGCCACTAGAGGTGGTGCACATGGACCTGGTGGGTCCTATGAGGACTGAGGGGACTGGGGGAGTGCTGTACTTCCTCACCATGGTGGACGAATGGAGCCGTTTCACGTGGGCACGTCCCTTGTCCAAGAAGAGCGATGCTGCAGCAGCAATCAAGGAGGATTGGTTGCCAATGGTGGAGCGGCAAGCTATGCGGTTGGTGATGGTGCTGAGGAGCGACCGTGGTGGAGAGTTCCTTGGAGCGGAATTCACCAAGTTTCTCAAGAGGAACGGCATCCGACACCAGCTGACCTGCCCAGGAACACCGCAGCAGAACGGCATTGCTGAGCGGCCAACCGGACCATTGGCGAGGCGGCTAAGACCTTGTTGGGGGCTGTTGGGATGCCCTACAAGTTCTGGCCTGATGCCGTTCGCCATGTCATCACGGTCAAGAACAGGGTCTTGACACATGTTGGCGACAAGCACTTGGTGCCGTACGAGCGTTGGCTTGGGAAGAAGCCATCCATTGACATGCTGCGGGTGTGGGGCTGCATGGGGCTTCTGATGGTGCCTAAGGAGCAGAGGCGCAAGCTGGAAGTTCCTGCTGTGTGGGCTGTCCATCTTGGGATGGCTCCTGACTCGAAGGGGTGGCTGATGTGGGACCCCAAGAGAAAGAAGATGCTGGTCAGCCGTGACGTCAAGTTTGTGGAGGACGTCATGTACAAGGACTGGCAGCAGCAGCAGCAGGTGCAGATTGGCTTGCGTCTGCAGGAGATTGAGCGGTCTGCAGCGGAGGAGGTTCAGTTGCACCTTGAGGATCTCCCTGGGTCAGAGCTGACCAGTGACCACAGTGGCGGTGGTGAGCAGCAAGGTGCTGGTCCTGCTGCGGAGGAGGGGTTGGAGGATGAGTCGGCACGAGTGGACTCACCATCTCAGCCCGAGCCTGCTGCAAACGCCAAGGTCACCAAGAGGAGTGTGCAGAGAGGAGCTTCACCACATGGGCAGCAGATTGCAACCCGCGAGAAGAGAGTGGTAGCAGCACCCTCAAGGCTGAAGTATAGCCGTTTGGGAGGACCCAAGCAAGGTGCCATGGCGGTTCAGGCGGATGAGGGGGAGGATGAGGAGATGGCGTTCTGTTTCTTCACACCCTTGCCTGGAGAACCAGCCACAGTGGAGGAGGCACTCAGTGGACCCCAGAAGGAGGAGTGGAAGGCTGCCATGGATGCAGAGTTCAACAGTCTCATTGAGAATGGGACTTGGGAGCTTGTTGAGTTACCCGAAGGGCGACGGACGATCAGCAGCAAGTGGGTCTTCAAGGTGAAGAGTGGAGCTGATGGTGCGTTGGAGCGGTTCAAGAGCCGCTTGGTCGCCAAGGGGTTTCAGCAGAAAGAGAAGGTCGACTTTGGGGAGATCTTCGCTCCTGTTGCTAAGCCAGTAACACTGAGGACTTTGATGGCTGGCGCAGCTGTGAAGGGATGGCACGTGAAGCAGATGGATATCACCACTGCGTTCCTCAATGGAATACTGCTGTAGGATATCTACATGGCACAGCCCGACGGCTATGAGGATGGGACCAGCCGGGTGTGCAAGCTCAAGAAGGCTATCTATGGCCTTAAGCAAGCGCCCAGGTGCTGGTACGAGAAGCTGGAGGAGGTGCTGCTGAGTGGAGGCTTCAAGACGTCCCAGGCGGATCACAGCTTGTTTCTGCTTGGAGAGGGGGAGCAGCTGCTCTTGCTGCTGGTGTATGTCGATGACATACTGTTGTTCTCACCTTCCATGGAGCAGATTGAGAGGACACAGAAGCTGCTGATGGACAACTTCAAGTGCAAGATGCTGGGAGATGTCCACTACTACTTGGGGCTGCAGATTGAGAGGGATGTTGAGAGGAGGTGGTTGAAGGTGCATCAGTCGCACTACATCTCTGGTGTCATGGAGCGCTATGGTGTGACTGGGGGTCGCACTGTGATGACACCATCCCCTGCAGGCTTCAAATTGAAAAAGGCAGCTGAGGAGGATGATGTACTTGAGGATGAGCAGCAGAATGAGTACCAGTCACTCATTGGGAGTGTGATGTATGCAGCTGTGCATACGTGACCTGATGCTTCGTTTGGAGTGGGGCAGCTGGCTAGAGTTGTGCAGCGGCCCACTGAGGAGCAGTTAGAGGTGGGAAAGCGCTTGGTGCGCTACCTCGGATCAACGGCATCTGCTAGTGTTCAGTTTTCAGCTGGCGGCCAGCTGAAACAGATTGGAGCAGATGGAGTCACACCTGGAACCTTGAAGCTGTTGTGCTTCACCGACGCCACATGGGCCTCAGAGGATGAGGATCAGTCATCGGTTGGCGGCTTTGTGTGCATGGTTGGAGGTGGACCAGTGAGCTGGAGGTCCAAGAAGCAGAGTGAGATTGCTCAGTCTTTTGGAGAGGCAGAGTACATGGCGATGTACCATGCCATCAAAGAGATCGTGCTCCTGAGGAAGCTGCTGGAGGACATAGGAGCTCAACAAGAGGGACCTACACCACTTTTCTCCGACAGCGAGGCTGCTATTGGCATGGCCAATAATCCTATCCTGAGTGGGCTGAACAAGCACATGAAGATTAAGTGGCACTGATGAGGCAGATGGTGAAGGAGGGGATTGTTGAGCTTCACCATGTGAAGGCTAGCAAGTAGGCGGCCGATTTTCTCACTAAGAGACTTCCCGAGAGCGCACATTGGAAGTGTGCAAAGATGTGTGGCATGGCATTGCACTAGTGTGGGCAGCAGTGTCGTGAGTGCATGTGTGATTGTGTGCATGAGAGTTTGCATTTGTGTGAGTGTGTGTGCATGCAGTCCATTAGTCTGAGGGGGAGTTTGTTGGATGCACGTCATTCTGAGTGCATGTCATCCTAACGTCCTGCCAAGTGCTCGCGCTATTCATGCGTGCATTGTTTGCATGAGCATATGTCATTGTGCATGGCTGTTGGATATTATCATCTCTGTGTTATTCTCCAAGTCTACATGCTTGATCATGCAGGAGAAATCCAGAGCTTTCCAACGATACCAAGATCGCCTTATTCCGACCAAGATCGCCCAAGTTACAAGAATTCCAAGACTTGGATTTCTTATTACCTTTTGGGGTTATATCTAATTTGGGTGATTACTTGGGACATGACTATAAAGAGATCTTTGGTTGGGTGGATAGGAAGGCAACTTTGACTTTTGGATTGGGGTGGCTAGAAGTTTCTAGCATGGGTTGCAAATGTTGCAACACCTAGGAAAATCCAATTAGATTGGATTTTGCATGTGACACCTCAAGGACCTCATGATGAGGGTTGCATCCTTGCTGCTAGGAAGGTTCCTACCATCCTTCCCTAGATCTTGGAGAACCCCTTCCCTCTCATGGTTCTCTTGGAGTCCCCAACTCCAACTTCCTATGTCCTAATGCTTGTACTTCCTCCACCATTCTAGTCATGCAGCTGCTGGACGTTTTCAATCGGTTCTCACTCTATAGACCATCTTAACGACTGAATCAACTTGAAGATGGTAGCTAAGCCTAAGGCGCAACTTACTACCGAGCGGATTTGCATTTAGTTGAGTAATGAGTTCGTCGTAAGCTCTCAAAGTGACGGATCCTGAACAACAAAGAGGATACGCAAGGTCAGGTCGAGTGCAGGTCATCAGGTACATGAGGCAGCCAACAAGCTCTGGGTAAGGGCCACTAGGCTCTACGGACTCACCCGAAGGCAGAGCTGAGAGTGAGTGGCGAGTAGATAGAGGAGTGGCCTGAGGCGAGGAGTGTGTGAAGTCAAAGCGCTGAAGGACCTGCTGCACCATGTGTGACTGAATCAGTGTGATGGTGCGGCGTGCTCTGTCCCGGGTGGTCTGCAAGCCAAGGTGACTGCGCAGCTCACCCAGGTCTGTGCACGTGCGTCTCTTCTGCAGCTCTGACTTCACCACGGTGAGAGCCTCAGTGTCAGCGGTGGCAAAGACCAAGTCGTCGACGTACACGGGGATGTAGAACGGCGGCAGTGAAGTGTGGGGGCGCAGAAACAGCAATGGGTTAGCAGTGGAAGGGGCGAACCCAAGAGCCGCAAGCGTCATCCTCAGTGTGTCGTGCCACTTACAAGGCGCCTGGAGGAGACCGTAGACCGGCCGACGAAGGCTCCACTGGGTACTAGGAGGGAACGACCCAGTGAAGCCAAGTGGGCGGCGCAGCCAGATCTCCTCGTGCAGACTGCCCTGTAAGAACGCTGTGCTGAAGTCCGGAGAGTGAAGCTCGTAGTCACGTTGAGCAGCAACGTGAGGCAACACCCGAAGAGTGGTCATCTTCGGGGTGGGGGAGAAGGTCTGGAAGAATTCAACTCCCTGTCGCTGACTGAAGCCTCGTGGAACATAACGAGCCTTAAAGACAGGCGGAGAACCCGACGGCTGCTTCACCCTGAAAATCCACATACCATCAACGATGTTCGCTCCAGGAGGGGGAACCTCATCGACGTAAGTGCCTGTGGAATTCCAGTATGCCATCTCTGCGTCCATGGCTGTCTGCAACTTAGAGGAGTACTCACCCGCGATCGCCTCAGCGTAAGAGCGCGGGGTTGGGATGTCTGGGG